CAGTGACGTCATGGCAGGCGCGCCCATGGGCTTCTCGGATTTCGGTCAAGGAGTCCCATCCGTAGGCGATGCAACGCACTCGAAACCTGCGCATACCTCCCAGCCTCTCTCGACATCGCAATTACTCGCTGTGAACAACGCAACAACCGCCGCAAATGGATACCCTACATTTGGCGACGGTATGCTGCCAAACTCGAACATGGATTTCGACGCCAACGTCAACGCCAATGACAGTGGAGAAGTGGGAGCTGCGAACGCAAGCGCGAATGGACCAGGAGCCATGGGCGAAACTGCATCGATGGAGAACGGCGAGATGGACTGGGCGCTTTGGGACGATCTCGTGAGCCAATATGGAATCGATGGGATGGACGGAACTTCGACCAACCCTGCAAGTGTTGCCGTACCAGGAAATCTTGGCTTGGTACATTGGTTTTGAGCGTGTAGACAAGGGCAAATGTGCGGTTATGATGTCTTGACCATTCCCGCGGCGTCTTCTTTTCTTTTTCGGGCAACACCTCAACTCTTCTTCCTTTAAGCATGAGAATGCACTCGTTATACCCTTGGATACATAGGAATTGTACTATATTTGCATTGCGATCAAACAACGAAACATCTTGACGCGATTCTTAGGCGTTGTCGACCTCTATGTGAACCTGAACATGTAGGTTCCCATAATGGGCATTCAATAATATCAACGTTACCAGCCAAGCCTCTCGTCGGCACAGATCAGGGTGGCCCATACCACGTGCAGGCTCTGATTGCGCGGTGTGCCGCTGCGTGGTCACCTCATCGATAACCTTATCTCTACCGCTTTCCAACGGCCTTGGGTCGACCAATCGCCCCGCGCTGCGTCGCATGCATGGCCAAGTCCCGCCCATAGCCTATATGTGACCATGCCCTATAACGTTGGCGCATCACGGCCAGCTATACAAGTTTGCGAAATTGTTTGTTTCTGTTTCTGATACAAGCGTCTTCTTTTATTCGTGAGTGCGATGAGTCTTTAAGAATTTGCATACTGCTGTTACTTGCGTGCGCATGACAAAGAGTGAAGAGCAGGGGCGAGGAGGGGAGACTGTCGACAAGAGCTCCTTCCGCTGCTGCTGACTGGACCCGCCAGTCCGGTTTCGGATGCCGCATAACCATCTCGCTCTACGTACATCCAACGGAAAAACCACATAGCATAACGAAGTACTTTGGGTTACGAAAAGTGCTTGTCGTTGAGCCGATCTGTCACATTGTTGCATTTTGCCTTCCATATCTGAACCATCCATCTCTCCTCCCAGCAACACACCAACACAGCGCTACCAAGCCCCATACATATCAAAGAGAAGAAAGAGAAAACCAAGAAAGGCGGGCGTCATGGCTTCAGCAACACCAACTCCGCAAGACTCGGGTCTACCCGCACCAGCAACACCATACCAGACCTCGCTCCTGGCCACAACAACCAGCTCCTCATCAGCGAGCAACCCCACCATCTTGCACCTGGGCGACGACATACGCTGGAACCACGAGCTGTATGCTGAACTCCAAGACAAGTTCAACATTGTGCGGACGTATTCGATGAAGAGAGAAGAGTTCATGCAAGCGCTGAGAGAGAAGCGATGGGGAGATTTCGTTGGCATGTATCGGCCTTTTTGGAACACGGGGGGCGAGATGGGGAACTGGAATGAGGAGATCATGTAAGTTTACCAGAACCAATCCCTTCTCCGCCACATTTCCATCTGAACGACTAAGATACTAATTCCTGCAAAAGCTCCCTTCTCCCCCCTTCCTGCAAAATCTACACCTCAGCCGGCGCAGGTTTCGATTGGGTTGATACCCGCCGTCTCGCAGAGCACGGCACCATATACTGCAACTCTGCCTCTGCGTGCACGGAATCAGTGGCCGACGCCGCGATTGTACTCATTCTCTCATGCTACCGCGCTATCCCATGGTCTTTTCTTGCTGCGCGTTCCTGCGACCCCAGCGCCTTCCGCAACGCGAACCAGAATATCGCAGCCGTGACGCATAATCCCAACGGCAGCGTGCTCGGCATTGTCGGGCTAGGCCGCATCGGTCTGCGCATCGCAGAGAAGGCGAGCCGGGCGTTTGAGATGAAAGTCGCGTACTATGATGTTGTTCGAATGAAAGAGAGTGAGCAAAGTGTTGGAGCGAGGTATTGTGCTAGTCTGGAAGAGTTGTTGGCGTGTTCGGACTGCGTTTTACTTGCTACGCCGTTTAATGGCGAGACGCTTCTTTCCACGACGCAGTTTAGCCAGTTCAAACGTGGGGCGCGGCTCGTTAACATTGCGCGCGGGAAACTGGTTGATGAGGCGGCGTTGGTAGTTGCGTTGGATGATGGAACGGTCTCGGCGGCGGGCTTGGATGTGCATGCTGATGAACCGAATGTTAATCCTAAGCTGGCGAAGAGGGACAATGTTATGGTGTTGAGCCATACGGCTGGTGCGAGTGTGGAGAGTCATATTGGATTTGAGAGATTGGGTATGGAGAATCTGCTGGGTTGGTTGAGGGAGGGGGAGAAGGGGTGTGTCAGTGCGGTTAATTTGCAGTGGCTGAAGAGAGAGTGATGGAGGATGGGAATCTTGCGATGGGATATTGAGGGTTAGAAGTTGAAGCGTACGTACATCTATAGAAGCATTGTTGACATCGACTAGGAGACTATCCATTTACCCAGGGCGAGGTTCACAGATGGCTCGGAAGTTCAATGACATCACTCACTCTGTTGACCTCCCCGCTCCACCTCTCAGACCCGGAAGAGTACTTCCTTTTGCAGTATCTCGAATCTACCATCTCAGTGGTAGCCTATTTACCGCTTCTCATAGCATAGCAAAGCATAAAAGTCGCGGCTTTTGCCAATAGAGTACTATCCCACCATTCTTGTTGTAAGGGTCGTGAAGCGCTCCCTATAGTGCAGAGGTATTGCCTCACTACTATCTGTTCCTGTTTCTCAGGGAGCTACATAGATAGCTCTTACAGTGGTCTAGCGGAAGATGTTTAGAATCAAGAGAATGCTTTCTTCATTTGGGTTGATAACATCCTTATTTCATCACGGCTACTCCTTTCGTCATGATCGCTGTTACCGCCCTCTTAGCTTGTGCTACAGCGACCATATGCTTAGCAGCGAGTGCTGGAGCAGAATGGTTCATATTGTTCGATCCTGACCAGGTGCTTGTTGTAAACGTTGTTCCTAACTACGTTCGTTCGTATGGCGTGAGGGCATACACGACCGAAGGCGTTATTATGGGTTCATCGACAGCTTAAGGACCCATACACGGAAATGATCGTGCTTATTGAACCTGGCGGCTTCAATTAATCATATAATAATGGTGCTAGGTCACTATATTACATTTTTTTCACTACCAACTATAAGAATTATTCCTCTTTCCCCTCAGAGCCCAATGTAGGAAAACAGAGCTATCTTCCACTATCTCTTGCAGCGTGAAGCATGTACTATTGCCTATAACTGCCCCTTACATACGGAGCGACGAATATGGAAACATTTCAATCGCTGCAGCTATGGTTTGACTAAGAACAGAAAATCTCATCAACTTTATCGCCTATGTAAACCCCACCCTCGATAAGATAAATCCTAGAAAGCGACGTGGAAGAATATTATCGAAAGATTGGATATTACTTTGAATTTCAGCAATATCTTCTTAAGAAAGCAAATTCTACACGTCTAGGCTATTGGAAAATGCCAACGCCTTTGTTCGACTAGTTCAAAGACTGGTTTTCGCGTCTGTGGCGGGGTTCAAGGTCGTCAACATTGATGTTGCACAATTCCAACTAGTCGACCCAGTGTTCGCGCAGTCTTCAACATACTTGCCTAGTGGCATGGGATTATCTTCTGAGATAATTGAAGAGGTCTTTTGCCGTAAAAGTGCCTTCTGTGCGTTGATTGCAAATCTTCATTTATCTGTCAAGGATGAGAGTGGTACGCTTTGCACAAAACTGAGTGTGAAGAGGCCATATGGTCAGGATTGGAGAGAGGCCCCTTAGGCGCGCGACAATGCATGAACAAAGGGTGGCATGTCGATGAGGAAAGAGCTATCGCTAATATGACGCAGTCACCACAAAAGACAAAGCGAGGCATTGCGTCACGCTTGTAATCACATTTACGAGCTCGCAACAGCCAATCCAGGCTGTATATTTCACAAACTCTTGGAACTTCCTAAAGCTAGCTTATCTGACGGCATCTCTAGTACGCGGGTGGAACCGCTCAATGTTCACATGTCTTCCCTGACTCTTTATCTACCTTTTTGTACAACGGAATATATGCCTACACTACGGCTTCGCTTCCTAAAACATCTTAAGCGCGCAATATGCTCCGTCGCTCCATCATCAAAGTGCAGAAAGCTTCCAGATGCAGTCTCATATGCCTCCATACTCGCTCACCTACCAGCCTTTCACAAACAGTCGTGGTCGCCTATTTAATAGGTGGTTGCGACATCGATTTGAGCAAAAGCTCACTTTCCAGTCATTCGAAACTGCGCCTGCAATTTGCAGTTTGAATAGCGGCACAGCAACGCTACCCACGCCGATTGAAAGCAAAAGCTTACCCCAGCACAATGTGGGTAAGATTCGATGCTATCTCAATCGCTGGCGCGATGATGCAAGCCGAAGAATTGTGGCCGTCACGTAGATTGATGAACATGGCCATTTTCTTAGCAGTTCCTCTACTGAATCTTGGTAACCAAATAAGGTAGTTGTACCACTGCAAGCTTCCCTGTGAGACCTAGTGACTGAGTAGCAATCGAGTGGTTCGCACGCATGTCATTCTTTGATAATGGAGGTGTAGGGGACGTGCATGATTGGGGAAATCTCTGCCTGGCAGTATAATTACCCCACTTACCTAGGCCTAACCAGGTCACGGGCAAATATTCCAAGCTTACTTTGATGGATTCACGCTCTTGATATTTCTCATGGCTTGTGCTGCGCTTTCAAATTTTAGATCTTAGGTTATATAAGATTTTACTGATTCATTCTTCATCAATCACACCAGGTGAGATGGCCGAGCGGTTAAGGCGCCAGCTTCAGGTGCTTCCAACAAAAGTTGCAGTATCTTGCTGGTCACGAAAGTGGCGCGGGTTCGAGTCCCGTTCTCATCATCATTCTTTTTGTTTTTGTTCGCAGAGTTTGTTGGTTGTTCTAAGGCTGCGTTGCGGGTGTTCGTAACTTTTTTGCGACTCCAGATGGCCCAGGCCCGTGCGTAAGAACCACGCGAGCGCGGGGCAAGCGCCTCAGGGTCCGGGCTTGGCATCATCCCGTCTGTTCCAACATGTTGGGGTAGGGCAACAACGATGTGGTCACGCACTCCTTCCTACTTCCAGAGTATGCGCCATGTGTGCACGCAACATTGCCGTTGTATGCTTCAGATATCCATTTGTTGACCAGGTAGGACCTTGAGCGTTGCCATGAAACCCAGAAAGAGCAAGGCGCCCCAAGCTGCACGCGCGGGAAGGTGGACTTGGCCAGGATTGTGTACGCCTCATGCAACCGCGGCACGTCTCCTCCTTGCCATGACCTACCCTGTGTCTTGGGTGAAGCTCTCGCTGGCCCTGCCTAACCCTCCCATGCACTTATCATAGCATTGCTACCTAGGTCTGCGCACAGATCACTCTTGACGGGTGTTACGCGTCGCACAGTGCTCAACCTTTGTTGAGCTTCGTCGTATGAGCGACTAGACGCGGTATCCGACCATGAAAATGGCACCATCGCGAGTTGCCACGGTTTGGCGGCTTTGCGTGCTGTTGCCATTGCTACTGTTTGCATTTGCAACTACTTCAAGCGCTAGCAATACCGCCCTACCAGATTCACAAGGTGACAATATAAAATCCGCTCTGATTGATAAAGTACTGACAGTCTCTAGCTACTAACCCGCCGGTCTACGAGCCCGAGAACCAAAAAGTAGTTCACTTGCCTCCAGCGCACCTCTCGTCTCCAACTACCACCGAAGCCTCCGAAACATGGTCGAGCGATGCACCGACGAGCACACTCAGTTACTCTCCTGTGGAGGCCAACATCCTCCATGACCTCCACTCAGCACTCTCCACAATGCAAGACCACTACTTCGCCGTATGGCTCGGAAAATACACCTCGGCAATAGACTGGACAGCAGCAGTAATGTCCACCTACGTCTCCGCCACGCTCTCCACGCTCTCCCACTCGCTATCTTACACGATGCCCGGCACCTTTGACAAGGACCGGAAGCTAGACGTGGAAGCACAAATGGTGGAGAACGAGATAAACAAGTACTTTGCGCAGACGACGGCATACTACTTCGGCGAAGACCACTTTGCAATAAGGATGCAGGCATTTGACGACATTCTATGGGTGGTACTGGGATGGCTGGAGGCAAGCATGTTCATAGAGAGCCACTCAGCCAGCCACTACACGCCAAAGGGGTGGCACGCAAGCCAATTCATCCCCGCGTTTTCGCACCGCGCACGCGTGTTCTACGAGTTGGCAGAGAAAGGGTGGGATTGGAGGCTTTGTGGGGGTGGAATGACGTGGAACCCGCGATTGCTGCCGTACAAGAATGCTATTACGAATCAGCTCTTTATCTCGGCGAGTATCAGCATGTACCTGCATTTCCCTGGCGACGAGAACTGCTCGCCGTTCTTGTCGCAGTACGATGCCGCGAAGCCGCGTCGTGAGCAACTTTATGGTGACTGCGAAGGTGGAAGTCGAGGGCGCTACGATCCTGTTTACCTGGCTAATGCGGTGAATGGGTATGCGTGGTTAAAGGGAAGTGGTATGCTGAACGATCAGGGCCTTTACACAGACGGCTTCCATATTGGCGGGTACCGCACGAATCATAGTAAGACGACATGCGACGAGCGGAATGAGATGGTATACACGTATAACCAGGGCGTCGTGCTCTCCGGTCTAAGAGGCCTATGGGAAGCCACCGGTCAGACCTCGTACCTGGAAGACGGCCACGAGCTAGTCCGGAACGTGATACGCGCAACCGGCTGGACGAATCCCTCTCTCCGCTCCACGCCTTCTTTCAGCTCGCATCGCTCCGCAAAACGCGACGACAAGACGCCGGATCAAAAGGAAGAAATGGTATTCCCCAACAATTGGGCGGGTCTAGGCTCCAACGGGATCCTGACAGAGCTCTGCGACCCCACCGGCTACTGCAGTCAAAACGGCCAGACGTTCAAGGGCATCTTCTTCCACCACTTGACTGCCTTCTGCGAGCTACTTCCCGCGAGGCCCGCGAGGCCGGGGCGAACCCACGCTGCGACCCGTGAGGTGGCTATGCTGCACGCAAACAGCTGCAGGGAGTATACAGCGTGGGTTGTACACAACGGACAAGCTGCGCTTCGTACACGAAACGAAGACGGGAGGTTTGGAAGCTGGTGGGGTGTACCTTTTGGAACGGATCCAGTCAAGCCATTAGGCCAGCGCAGTCAGGCTGGGTCTGGCATGGACGCTGAGATGGCGTTGCCAGAGAACGCAACGGATTACCGCAACGCGTTTGCGTCCGGCAGCAACGACTATGACGACATGTACACGGATACCGAATCCATTGCTTCCTCAACCTTCTCCACCTCTTCTTCTTCTTCCTCCTCAAACGACTTCGCAGGCACTGCCTCCCCAAAGCGCAAAACGCACGACCTCAACGACCGTGGTCGCGGCCGTACCGTAGAAACTCAAGGCAGCGGCGTCTCCGTGGTGCGCGCAATGTGGACATTTCTGCGCCGCGCAGAGGGCGGAGATGTCGATTGGAGTGTGTGAGTTTTCTCTTCTTCTTCTTCTTCTTCTTCTTCTTCTTCTTCTTCTTCTTCTTCCTCTCCTTCAAAAGAATGTATCTTGAAGGGGCCGTCGAGGATCTGTCGCATTTCCTACATCATCTCACACATGGATGTGGGGAAGAGGGTTAATATGAGAATATTTTTCCTCGTGGTAGGTATACGGATCCTGTGAGTAGTTCTGCGACCATGGCCCGGACAAATACCATGGCGGTGCTGGTCGGGAAGTGGCGCAGAGCCGTCGTCCTTTTGACGTCATCGAGACGGGCACTCTTTGCGTTCGTGGAGCTGTATGCGCATCTGGAGTGGTGCCGTTGCATCAGTGGTACATGAGGCTTGCTGTGCTATCTGATTGGAAGAAGGGAAGAAAAAAGAAGATGCGTAACGAGATAACGATGAGACGAGATGTTTCCTTTCAAACCAGTTCAAGGAGATGGCGTTGGACTTGAGGGTGGAAATGAGAGCGCTTGATGTTGCTCTGGCAGCATAATACCAAGAATGATTTCAGGTGGGATGGGGAAACGTTGATGCTCGACTTTGCTTACCTAGCCTACATTCTCATCAACTCCTCTCCTACTCATCTAGAACCCTAGCTATCCTAAACCAGTTCTTTCTTTTCAAGTCTGTGGCGCATCTCTGTATGAATCAGAGCAGACTTCTTTGCAGCATCATTGACTCCTGTATCTGTTTGTGGGATACTACATGATCCCCAACTCGCCAAATCCCTTCAAAACCTCCTTGTCCACGCGACTCAGCCACTCTTCCTGGAACGCTTGTTCGCCACCGACTTGCTGAATGACCTGCTGTAGATGCTCTCTTACGAATGCGACGAGGTTGATCTGATGGACTGGATCCGTGTAGATGAGTTCGCGCTTGCGGATATCTTCTGGAGCTTCCGGCTCAGTAGGGTGGTAAGGCTCAGGCGGCCAGTATAGAGAGCTGTTGGAGGGTTAGTCTAGATACCATGACAAAGTATGATTGCAAAGGGAAAAGAAGAGTCAGACGTACTCCTGTGTCCTATCATCCATGCCATCCAGCAACTCGCCTAGCACGTCGGTCCAGATCCCGATCAACGACTGCAGTCTTCCCAACATCCATGGCTGGCCACCCTCCAGGAACCTGGTGAGAACGAGACACATGAGTTTCTTATTTGGCGAATCTCCAATGTTCTCAATGTGGCTGAACCATTCTTCTAGCAGCCAGTCTAGCGTCTTCTCTAGCCCTTCGCTAGAGAGCGAGGCAAGGGCTTCGAGAAGTACAGGGGGAGAAGCAACGGCGATGCGCGCTAACACGGTGAAGTAGTCGGTTTCCACGACGCCGTCGACGGCGCGAGAGGGCAGCTCGCGGTATGGACCATGAGATTGATGATGTGTCCATGCGCCGTGGAGACCCTCTAGGACCTTTGCTAGAAATCCGGAGGATATCAAGTCGCCCGTCAAGACTTTGATTGCTTCTTCACCGCCGACTCCTTCTGCACCGCGGATGATGCATGTCACGAGGTGTGTCATGATTCCGTTTGCCTCGGGTTTGAGAGTACCAAGCAACTCAGCGAGCGCTTGCAGAATCGCAGGCCGGAAGGAATCAGCTAGCACTGCGGAAGGTGCGAGGAGAAGATAGGCTTCTGTGAGCTCGATAGCTTTCCGTAGAGTGTCGTTGTCCATGCTAAAAAGTGGGAGGAGATACTGGAGGAGGTTGAGAAGCTCAGGCGGTGTCGGCTCTGGCGCTGATGGTGTCTGTGCGAGAATGGATGCCCATAGGTCCAGCGCGTCTTCGAGGAGATAGACTTGGGTTTCTGAGCCAGGTTCGATGGCGCTCTGAATGATGGGTAGGAAAGATACATGAAACGAGCGTGAGTCGGCCTTCATGGCGTTTGTCAGCCGAGCAAGTATGGTGAGGATAGCTTGCTTCATGAGGTGCTCTTCGCCGGACTGCTCCCATAGAGGTGGCAGCAGAGAGATGATGCTGTTAGCATACGGTGTGATCTGGAAAAAGTCAGCCAAAGTGTGTCGAGTACGAGTTTGCGACTTACATGGTGCTCCATTCGCTCGACAATCAGACTGATGGTATTCAACAGCGCCATCTTCGTTTCAGGCAGCTCGACCTCTTGCACCAACGCCATGAGCCTGTCAAGTGTGACCTGTGAGTATGGCAAAAATGCATCAGCCTTGAACTCCCATTCATCCGCAACGGCGTGGAATTTTCTTCCAGCAGTGATACGGACTACCTGGTCGTTCAAGGGATCGTTCTTGTCCAATAAATGCTGAAAGATCTGGTATACGATCGGCTTCTTCTCCTGGGCCATTTTGATAGTAATCCATTGAGAGATGAGGATAGCAATGCGGCGGCGGATG